ATTTTATGAAAAAATTGATATGTAGTTTTATTTTTACCAAAAAAAAATTCTCAAAAATTAAAAAAAAAAATTTCTGGTAATGCTTAATATGATTTCATAAAATTCCGTTTTATCATTTAGATAAAAGGATTTTATGAAAAAGATATTTACTCTCCACTGATTATTTAATTTCTCTAAAATATAGAAAATATTCTCCCGCAAAATAAAACTTGTTGCTATCCCTAGCCAGGGTTATAATCCAAGGAAAGTTATTTCAGAGGTGTACGCATTTTTTGTACTGCAGTGTATTGTCTTTGGACGGAAAAGTAAACACAAGACTGATGTCTGACATGGAATCAATTTTCACAAAAATAATCTATGAAATATTCTGGTCAACGGAAACTATTATGTGAATTTTCAAAATTATCGAAATTAAAATAAACTCCTCGAATACCAGACGAACACTGATGCATCTATTCTTGTTCACAAATTCCGCCCAGAGAGAACTGGTTTCAATATGTACGCTTAGTATACGCGACCGCAATGAACTTTCCTTGTATTATAACCTTGTCCCTAGCGGTTTCTTTACGTTTGGTCTCTATGTTTAACTCTATACATATATCTGTAAATTTGAAATGCTTTAAATATCTCATGTTTTAGACAAACTAACATTTTTTTGTCGCTCTCACCTTTTTTAGGATATATAAATTCAACTTTTTAATGTCAGCTAAATGATTGGATCACTCTAAACTAGTTGTAGAAGATTGTAGAAAGTTTTATATATCTTTTGAATAAAATCTTGCATGGTTTGAGAAAGAAGAGAGAAGAAACAAAGTACATTTCTAATGATTTTGTTTTGTGTAAAATGTAAAACATAAATCTTTATTTTTCTACATAATTTTGATTTAGTATTCTCAACTTCACATTCAACCCCTTTTTTACTGGCTCAGGGATTTTTAACAAATTTTGAGATAAAAACTAGAATTAAGAGATTATTTTAAAAGTTGTTTTTAAGCCTCTACACATTCTTTTCCCTTATCCCGATTGGGCTATTTTTGTCTGATATAGATGGGGGGGGGGGGGGTTCACACGTCCAGGCCAGCTCATTAAAATATTAGACCTCCAACTTTAATGGTTAGGATAAATCTAAAAATAGATATTTTTGACAAATATTTATGTGTCACAAGTTTCTGCATACATTTTTCAATGGCTTTTTAAATAAATAAATTTTAGATCTGTAGCTCAAGTAATTAAAGGTTTATCACACCCAACTAACCAGAGTGAGCAGCATTCGGTTTCTTCTATTTAAACTCAAACATGTTTTGGTCTTTAATTTAATAATCATTTACATTACGGATTTGGTTATGTTATATATTTTCATTCGAAATGCATATGCCAACAAAAAAGGATTTAATAAAAAAAGGCTAACAAATTATGTTTAATGAGTCAAATTGTGACTGAAAGTCACAGCTTTCTGGAATATTGACAGAACCGTTAAATCCACTTGTTATACATACTATTTTAGATTTTTTTTAAACCCCTACCAGCCGATGGTCCGTCCTCTACCCTTTGCATCAATGATTTTTTTGTGCAAAATTTGTTTACAACATATGAATTTTAAAAAGTGAAGAAGTTTTAGCGCAGTAGTGTGCATAAGTCGATTTTAAGTTATTATGTAAAAACCACAGGACAGGAGAACGGGTTGAACCCCCCCATCGTGATAGGGTTAATCAAAACTAGCGTCATTTACTATTTATTTAAAAAAATACGTTAAAAGTCCTTTAAACTTTCTTTTCTATTTAGCAATCTGTTCCTTTAAATATTGTTTTAAAATAAGGAAGACACGGACCCTCATTTTCAGTTTCAGTTTCCTTGGAAGTTTTGAATTATTGATGCTCATATTTTGGACTTTAAACTTTTTGATCACACAGAATTTATAGAATAAAATTCGATAATGTGAAGTTTACCTTCGTACTTCATGTGAACAAACCTTTAAAGGGACAGACCAGCTATGTAAGGTAGTTAAACTGAGTATGCACTGTTGTGGTCAAATTCTTTAAGATTCATTGGAGACATATAAAACTTTTAAAATATCTGTAAATCTTGAGTTTGAGCGCAAAGTGGACGTTCAAAATCAAGAATTTGCGTGAGTACGTTTCAGAATCGGTTTTCTGAACTTAGAGAACAACGGATTCTCGTTCTAAACAATATCCAGTAAGTACAAATATTTACATTTTGGGGGGAATTTTTTTTCACGTAAAAGTGCAAACTCCTCTGGTATTTGATTTTATTTACATTTTTGTTTAAGGAATCTCTTCAAAATGCAACTGTATAAACACGCACCCTATTTTCTTTATCAAATATCAAATAGCACAATCGTAGAATTTTTTTTAACTCCAGTAAATAAGTTTACGACCCAAGGAATAGCATTGTGTCTTCCCCTTTTCATTTTGAGTGTTGACATAAAACATTTGTAAGTACTAACAACTTTGTAAAATGCAAGTTGTTGTTGTAGCTTGGCGGGTTTTTAGAATAATGTAAAAGGCATGAACTAATATATTTTAATGACTTGAAAAATACCGAGTTTTAAAGTTAGTATTCTATAAAAAAAGTGCAACTAATCCGTAAACTAGTTTTCCCACAAAACCTTTTTTTAGAGGAAATTAGTTTTTTTGCAAAAGATAAAATGTTAATTCTTTAACCTAGTTTAATCCTAGTTTGTGCCTGACTCATTGAATTACATCATGTCTTTATAAGAGTTTTTACAATAAAAACAATATCAAACAATTCACTTTTCACAATAATAACACTTCTTGAAGAAGACGTAAAACATATTGCATAATAAAAAAATGTATATGGAATAGGATTATTGATAAATATAATGTACCTGTAATATTCCTCGGTAAGTCTAGAGGCGGGATTATTTATAAAGCTTGGTTCTATATGTAGCTATTGATATTCTGTAGTTTATTTAACTATTAAATATTTGTAAAACACCTGTTTTATCCTTATCTGAGAAAAGCCCTTAAAATCAATTTCCCGCCAAATTTTCCATTGAATCCCTGAGGAGCTGCAAGGAAATTGGTGCATGCAACTGCTTTTCTAGTAAATGCAACTGCTTCTCTAGTAAAAGTTAAACCAAAATTCTAAAAATCTTTTGAAATACATATACAATCTGCAAAAACAAATAAATATTAAGGAAAATAATGATAACAATATACTTTATACTTTACTACATGGTCCTCCGAGATTATACATTATTACAGTACAGTGTATATCAGTTAGGACAGTTTACTGATAAAGGATATAAAGAGATTATGGCCTTATTCATTCAGTAATATTCAGTACGCTTTCGCAGTACAAGTGTATTGGGAGGTTTTGTATCTTAATTAAATTTTACTCAGTTCTACTTTCAAAGTGAAAATTATCCCGTGCCTTCATAATCAAACAAATCTTTAAGAAAGTACCATTGTAAACCGTACATCCCACGGTGACATGGAAACGCCTTAACACGGAAATGCCTAAATAAACAGAATCATAAAACTAATTTAATGTCGTCTTCTCTCATTTTAAAATTAAAAAGACTATATTCTAACGATTTTCACAGCCATGTCCGCAGAGCTCGGCCTCCTAGCCTGTTCTAGCCGCCACGGCCCTCTAGCCTGTCCTAGTCGCAGCGCTCGGCCCCCTAGCCCATCATAGCCGCAGCGCTCGGCCCCCTCTGTAGCCTGCGGTGCAACCTAACTCACCCTAAATTAATGATAACATAACTGTTTTTCCATGTCACCACATCCCTCTCTATAATTGGAAATGATCAATTGAAATTATGTCCTAAGTGTTATAAAATGTTTTAGATTGAAACCCTATTTCTGCTTGAATGAAAATAAACATTTTCAGAAATCAGCCCCCGAGTACAGTACTGTAAAATACAGATATTGACCTTTGAAAATGGAGTACTACTCCTTAAGCTGTGTTACTGCTGAAACTACTCTACTATAAAGAACACCTTGAGCTGTATTACTGATGTAACTACTCTACTGTATAGGGTACCTTGAGTTGTATTACTGATGAACTACTCTACTATTCAGGGTACCTTGAGCTGTATTACTGCTGTAACTACTCTACTATATAGGGTACCTTTAGCTGTATCACTGCTGTAACTACTCTACTATATAGGGTACCTTGAGCTGTATTACTGCTGTAACTACTCTACTATATAGGGTACCTTGAGCTGTATTACTGCTGAAACTACTCTACTATAAAGAACACCTTGAGCTTTATTACTGCTGTAACTACTCTACTATATAGGGTACCTTGAGCTGTATTACTGCTGAAACTACTCTACAATAAAGGGTACCTTGAGCTGTATTACTGATGTAAATACTCTACTGTAAAGGGTACATTGAGCTGTATTACTGCTGAAACTACTCAACTATAAAGGGTCCCTTGAGCTGTATTACTGCTGTAACTACTCTACTATAAAGGATACCTTGAGCTGTATTACTGCTTTAACTACTCTACTATAAAGGGTACCTTGAGTTGTATTACTGCTGTAACTACTCTACTCTACTGATTAGTAAAAGATTAGCGTACATCATCACTCTATATTGGTTTAACCCAATTAGGTTTAAAAGTTTTAGGGAATATAATATTTGAATTTGTGGAATAAACTCAGTTCATTTGATTTATAATACCTCCATATTTTCTAACCTTCAAAGGTACAAAAATTATCAATTAAAAGTGACTTTAAATAAAAATTCGGTTCAGCCGTTAAACATAATCTTTCATCACGAAACTTAATTCAATTCTAACCTTCCTTGTGTTTCTTGAACAAAAAAGAAATTTATTTTCCATTTCTTAAATAAAGATTTGTTTAAAGAATTACTTCTTCAATTTTTTTTCCATTTTATATTTCTAGTTTTCTGCAGTATCAAGCAATATCAAGCAACAACAACAAGGATAGCGGAAGAAGAAAAAATAGAAGACAGATAAAGAAGAAAATAGAAGAAGACTGATCTAACCTTGATGTATTTGCGGTAGATCCTGCAGATCGTCGGCTAGCGATCGAATCTCCGTGTTTTATAACTCGACCCTTGTTTATAGAAAAGGAACGAAGTCTAAAATAGAATCAATTTTATAAAGAACTAGTTCAAGTGCCCGGCGTTGCCCGTGGAATTAAAAAAAATATTTTGAAAAAATGCGGTTTTAGAAAGCAAACATTTTGAATTTTTAGCCTATGTTACCTCAAGGGTATCCATGGGTTCCCTCAAAAAATTTCAGCCAATTCGGTTCAGCCGTTTGGTCAGCTATAGCTGACATATGCATAAATATATACATATTATTTTTGTGTGAAAATTGTACAGAACTTAACGTGCAAGATTGAAACTTTAAAAGACAGTATTAAGCTGAATTATTTTAATCATAATTGTTGAAATCTCTCAACATTTTTCAATTACAATTCGCATGTTGTAAGGCGGGATTATTGATAAATATAATGTACCTGTAATATTCCTCGGTAAGTCTAGAGGCGGGATTATTGATAAATATATAATGTACCTGTAATATTCCTCGGTAAGTCTAGAGGCGGGATTATTGATAAATATAATGTACCTGTAATATTCCTCGGTAAGTCTCGAGGCGGGATTATTTATAAATATATAATGTACCTGTAATATTCCTCGGTAAGTCTAGAGGTGGGATTATTGATAAATATAATGTACCTGTAATTTTCCTCGGTAAGTCTAGAGGCGGGATATTTGATAAATATAATGTACCTGTAATATTCCTCGGTAAGTCTAGAGGCGGGATTATTGATAAATATAATGTACCTGTAATATTCCTCGGTAAGTCTAGAGGCGGGATTTATAATGTACCTGTAATATTCCTCGGTAAGTCTAGAGGCGGGATTATTGATAAATATATAATGTACCTGTAATATTCCTCGGTAAGTCTAGAGGCAGGATTATTTATAAATATATAATGTACCTGTAATATTCCTCGGAAAGTCTAGGATTATATCCTTTCTCCGGCAGGCTCATATACCGTCGCTTGTCATAGTTAGCAACTAAACAACAAATCAAATAATAACTAGGCTTTCTTCTATTTTAATTAAACATTTTCTCTTTGTATCAGTTGTAAAACAAAACAAAAGTTAGCGGATTTTATAAAAAAAAATCGTAGATTTTCAAAATTTAAAGAAAATCGAATTTTGTTGAAGGTTGATCTTTGAAATTTCCATTTTCCATGAACCTTCCTAGGGGTCATTTGAGGTCCCACACAAAATTTGGACCCGATCAGGTTCAGCCGTTTTGACGTTTATTGGATACAAAATCAGACAAGCAAAGTATTATAGCTAGGAACTGATTACTCGTCTCAAATCCTGATAACCTTGAATACCATAAATAGTTCAAACTATCAATTCTACTTGATCAAAAAATCAAAGTCTGAAATATTAATATTCTAAACCTTCAGGTTGCAAATATATAGGTGAGGGATAGAAAATAAGTATTTGTGACGATCGTGATCATTTCTTTTGTTAAATTAAGCCAACATGTCTCTAAACTACAAAATATAAAATATATAATAGATTTGGTACCATTAAAGGGACTGTAAACGTGGTTTTAAGTGAACCTCCATGCACAGAGGGCAATGACCGATTCACAACCATACCTTTGAAACCTTTATGTGATCAATAATGCAGAAGATATTGTCGTTTTTATAGATTTAAAAGAAAAAAAAATTAATCAGTTTTCAAATAATTTACATTGATATCTGATTCATACTTGATCAGGATAAAGCTTTCAAGGGCACCGTTGTGATTCGAGCAATGCCATCTTTGCATGAAGTGTCACTTGAAATTACGAGTACAGTCCTTTTAAAACTGAACACTCGCCTCCAACGCTTATCTTTGAAACCTGATGTCGTAGACCTTTGGTTTTACCATCTTTTAATTTTGCTGTGATTGAATAGTCTAAGTTTAGAATATGAAAAGTTACACACCATCCGTATGTACATGTGAATTACCCCAAACCACAGTTCTCATCCTGTATTTTTTCTCTTAAATGGACTGTAACCGTAATTTCAAGTGACCCTCCATGGAAAGATGGCAATGCCCGATTTACCATGGTACCCTTGATCACCCCTGATTATGTTTTAATTAGATATCTATGTTTTTGTTTATTTTCATTTGCAGATTCTCTGTGAAAGCGACTTGCGCATGATCTTGCTGATAATAAGCAATGGAGAAATTATCAGAATTAAACACTTATCGAGTGAGGAAAACGAAAGTAGTTTCCACATTTTAATCAGATGAAGGTTTAAGGTAAATCGGGCATTGTCATCTTTGCATCAAGCATAAGTCCATTAAATATCTTCTTTTATAAAGATGCGAACTAACCTGGGAGCTCTAGAAAGTTGGAGGTTGGATTTATTGTAACATGACGTCTACCAGCCAGGGAGGTTTTCCGTCTTGAAGCCAATACAGCCAGGTTAGATGGACACATATGAGTGGGTTGACTGGCAAACCTAGATGTCCTGGCTGGCCGGGGGGAGGGGGACCGTGGGGTTGGACTGTTAGAAATAAAAGATCTCTGAGGTACTGGAGAGGAGGGTGGGTACGGAGAAGTGTATCCGGAGCCAGGAGAGTTGCTGTACTCAGACGGAGATCTTCGTGGAGATTGGGAATATCTTTTCCCTGCTGTTATTCTACCTGGAGATTTCGGAGGCTCCGAACCAACGACTTTGGAAGATTTTTCTCCGAACTGAAAATTGGGAAACTGGCCAGCTTTAGATCGTGGAGTTCCTGAAAAGGGAGATCTTGTAGCTGTTGGTGTTCTAGGAGATTGGAATGCGGGGGGAGTAGGTGAAGATGAGATTGGACTCAGGCTAGAGGATCTTAGACTGCTCCTGGAGCTACTCACGGATTCGTCCGTCTCTGAGGAAAGCTTTAACGGAGCAGGACGCACTCTTCGTTTTCTTTTCTGCGATTTTAGAGATTCTTTTCTAAACAAAAAAAGGAAAATTACTTGTGCTTGAGTTGCGGTTTTTAGTGTTCGACAACATTTCTCAATTGATTTGTTCTATTTTTGTCTAATTAGTTAAATATTAACAATCCTTAAACGTTAAAAAAAATGACGGTTGAAGAAATGTAAACCGACTTTCTTTCTAAAGGTTTGTTTACCTTGTGTCTTCAAAGAAAGACTGAATAATTTGACGGTCTGTGTAGAGGGAATCATGAGAATTAATTCTCTTTTCTCTTCTTCCTCCTCCTCCTCCTCCTCCTCCTCCCTGACTTAATACGTGACAACTTCCTCCAGTTCCACGGCTCCGACTCCGCTGACTTCCTCTGCTATTTTCAAAACCTGAACTTCCTTTAAATACGTTTTCTTCCCGACTTCTACTTCTTCCTGATCTCCTGTTCCCACAACCCCCTTCTTCAGCCCCTCCTCCACCTCCTCCTCCTCTTTCTTTGTCCCTGCTCTTGCTCCGAAGGCTCCTAAAGTTCCCACGGTGGCTGCTGGTTCGATCTTTTTTATCATCTCTACTTTTACTCCTCTGCCTACATTTATCTATTCTATGTATGCTATGTTCCCTACTGATATCCGTTCTACTCCTACCCCGACCCAGCCTATCCTCAACTTCTCGGAGGTTGGAGTAACTTCTGTAGTTTTCATCAGCCGGATTCTGTTTCCGGTCAAACCCGTTATCTTTCCTGAAATTTCCAAATTAATAAAATACAAGAATTTGAATAATTTTATGAAAATTAGAATAAAAAAATAATGCCCTTAATTTTTTTCATAGAGTTAAGTCTAACTAGATTTCTTTTAGTATAAAAACGACATTTCTGAAATAAACTAAGAACAAGAACAAAGTTGTAAATGTACATGTTTCTAAAAAAAGGCGGTACATAATAAAAGAATTTAATACAAAACGTAACAGAGCATATTTAAAACTAAGCTTTTGGGCGCTTCGCGACCATCTTCTATTTCAAATGTGAACATATTGTCTTTGTATACATTGTAAAACTAAAACAAACAAAAATTTGCGCCGATCTTCTATTTCAACTGTGCACAGTTTGTCTTTGTATACATTGTAAAACAAACAAAAAATTGCGGATTTTATAAAAAAAAATGTCAAGTACTTTCAAAATTTAATACAAATCGTATTTTGTTAGAGGCAAAATTTTAGGATTTTGATCGTCTATATAACCCTACTCTGGTGACATTGGAGGTATCACACAAAATTTGGGCCCGATCGGTTCAGTCGTTTTGACGTTTATTGGACACAAACGGACAGAAAAACAGACAAGCAAAGTATATATGTATATAGATTAATTCTGGATGTAATAGCCTTCTTATAATAAAGATTAGTCTTTTCATCCTTTCAGGTTTATTGAACCAGATTATTCGGGAAAAAGAATTATTTAAAGGATAGAAACCTGCCATAACAAGAAATTATGGATGGGGGGGAAGGAATTGTAGGTCGGATGGGCAGTAGAGGGGATGGGCGTAGGTCCGAAAATACACCATCGAAAATAATACAAAGAGAACGAAGAAGAAGTCACCATTTAAAGAAGATTTGATCTCATCAGTTTAATCTTTAAAGGGATTTCAAATAACCTTCTGTGGAAAGATGGTAATGTCCGATTCACAACGGTACCCGTAATAGCTTTGTAAGATCAAGATGATTAGATATCATTATTTATATTTTTGAAAATTGTTTATTTTCAATTGCGATTTCTCTACAAAAGTGATTTTTCTACTGCTGGAAAACTTGTAGGTATTTGTGTAATGCAGGGATAAAGATCAAAGATTTATCCTCAAATTTAAAATTGCCCACAATGGATATCGAGATAAAGCGTTCAAGGATACTCTACACCTCAGATCTGAGTGTTTATTCTCAAAAGCTAAGGTTTTATCGGGTTATGTTTAAAATGCTGACCTGCTCCCCCTCTTCTTGTTCTCATGTAAAATCTCGACCATCTCTTCAGATATTCTGTGACAAGATCGAGCCTTAATTCTCAGCTTTCAACAAAAAGAATAGAATATATATTAGAGAGGAATTTAAAGAATCTCTCGGTATGAACTTTTTCAGTCCCTTTCAGCCTGAAAGGGAGTTCAAAGTGTACAAATCATGTAAAAGCTGTTTTTTTAAAGCTGTTAAATAAACTTTATAATGAATTAGGTGAATAGAAAACATCATTTGATTTATAGTCATAACGGAAAATCATCGTTTGTAAAGTGAAAGGCATAGAGTCTATGTGAAATGATCATTGATCAATTATGAAACCAGCCTATTTAGTATTTCATAATTTGGTTTTCTTTAAATATTAGTTTTAGATTTTCTACATAATGATATGCCAGGGCCCAAGAGGTTATATAGTATAAATATGTGAAGTACACCTGCAGTATGGAAACAGTAGAACAAAATCGCCGTTTTAAACTTTTTTCTAGTAAATTTCCCTCTAATCTTTTCTCTTTGGCTTTCAATAAACATTTTAGAATAAAAAAGATATTAGATTGTATTGCTTAAAGGGAGTGTTCGCGAAAAATGAAAGGGGGTATAGGCTTAATGCGATAAAAAAGCGCTTTTGATCGCTACTAATTTTACTTCTATCTGTTGCGTCTATAAGGGGAAAATTGTTAAAGACGTCTCATAACGAATAATTTAGCGCCCATAAAAATTCAGAAAATTGCAACATACAACTTAAAGACCGTAAAAAATCAATTTAATTTCAAACAAATCATTCAGATATTACAACCTATAGTCATCGATTATCTTTCGCCACATTTGTATATAGTTTATATTTTATAATATTTTATTTTTTTTAGAAAACGTTTTAACAGATTTCGAAAAATGTGAGTGGTGCGCGGCATTCTTAGATAGTTGCGCAAGCGACAAGAAAAATAATCAAATTCAAAACAAATTAGTTCAAAAATATTATAAAATATAAACTCTATACAAATGTGGCGAAAGATAATCGATGACTATAGGTTGTAATATCTGAATGATTTGTTTGAAATTAAATTGATTTTTTACGGTCTAAGTAGTATGTTGCAATTCCTTTAATTTGCATGGGCGCTACGTTCTTCGGTATGAGTCGTCTTTAACAATTTTCTCCTTATAGACGCAACAGATAGAAGTAAGATTAGTAGCGATCAAAAGCGCTTTTTTATCGCATTAAGCCTATACCCCCTTTCATTTTTCGCGAACACTCCCTTTAAATGGACTGTCATTAAAATGTCAAGTGGTACTGCATGCCTGACGCACAACGGAACTCTAAACCTTTATATGAGAAACAATAAACAGATCTCGTTGTTATTCTATTTTGAAAACTGTTGAATTTTGAGTTTGGTCAATTTTATACATTTTGTCACTTCCACAGAGTATAGTTTTCGATTTTCAGAGAGAGAGAAACTTGATATAATTCGTCCATGCTCGGAGAAAGGTTTAAAGGTAGAGATTTCGAAAAATGTGAGTGGTGCGCGGCATTCTTAGATAGTTGCGCAAGCGACAAGAAAAATAATCAAATTCAAAACAAATTAATTAAAACATATTATAAGTTATTCGGTATGAGACGTCTTTAACAATTTTCTCCTTATAGACGCAACAGATAGAAGTAAGATTATTAGCGCTCAAAAGCGCTTTTTTATCGCATTAAGCCTATACCCCCTTTCATTTTTTGCGAACACTCCCTTTAATGAAATTTTATTTTGAAAGTGTTGAATTCCTTGGAAGGAGGAGACGAGGCAACCTTTCTTGCAGGTGTATGTATTCGACCTGGAGCAGGGCGCGGACTATGTGGTGCTCCAGGAGTAGTTCGAGTACTTTGTGCAGCTCCAGAGATATGTCGAGGACTTGTTGGTGCCGCTGAATTATGTCGAGGACTTGATGGCACCCCTGGATTATGTCTAGGACTTGTTGGTGCCCCTGGATTATGTCGAGGACTTGACGGGACTCCTTGATTATGACGGGGACTTGTTGGCGCCCCTGAGGTAATCCTAGGACTCCCTAGAGCTGGTGAAGCTGAACCAGTTTGTGCATTAAACTGCGCAAAATACTGAAGACCTTGCCCCGTTCCAGTTGACCCATAGGCTGCGTATTGAGCTGATGAGCTGACTGAGCCAGAAGGACGGGGAGATTGAGGGCTCCGCATCTAGATATTTATAATAATGTTTACAGCATACTTAGCGTTTCAAAACAAACCCCCCCCCCCCTCCACTTTACTATTTTGAATTGTTATTGAACATTCATGTGACCAAATGATGCATGTGACCAAATGAGGATAATATAAGTCGTTTTTTTAGGAATCTACAATGCCCAAATCTCAATCCTATGGTACTGTGAACCCAACCAGGGTTCATACCTATGTACATAATCTCATATAAGTTCATTGCTCCCAGTTGGACAAATGATGCACATAACAAATACAAACTAAGAATAAAGCCAAACAAAAAGGGTATTGAACTCCAGGTATGTCTGCACCCTTAAATACATAACCTTGAACTTGAACATTGAACCTCTTCTCTTATCTAGAGATACAACCCGCCGGCCGCGGGGTGCAAGGTTGGAGAAAGGAGTAAGGGTATAGAGGGACAGTGGTATTAAACCCTCTATCTTATCTAAAGAACGGCATTTATCTGCAGAGAAAACAGACCGTCGGCGATCTTAGCCCCAGAGTTTCATAGGGGAGTTAGTTAGCAGGAAGCATCTGATCAGAAGAGTCAAATGGAAATATATTCGCCCATGGCGGATGCATGTATACTTTTGGTATATCGTTATATTGTAAATATAGTGTGTGTGCATACCCATGCTTCGTTATTCTACTCAATCTTGGCTTTTTAATACTGAATTTTTTTCAAGTCTTTAGTACAAGTACAGGGTATCCCAATTGAGTGCCGACTTCTTTTCCGTCTTTGTTCCGCGTGGCATTATTATGGGAACACATTTTTTGCAAACAGTTAATAATTTAAACTACTTTTCTTTATTGGGAGTTCAAAAATGTGCTTAACTTTATTTTTACCTTAAAAATTGACGAATATATTAAGAAATCTGTTAAGATTCTAATAATTATTTACAACTACTGCACAGAAAAGTTGAGGGATATTACTTTACCAAAGGTTTATATGGCTTACAACACATTCAGAGCACAGCGAGCGCATTTTCATCTCAAAAGACGATACAGTTAAGTACAACTATTTTTCGGGAAATTTTAAATTTTATTAAACCACTGGTTCCCTCGATACGCTCTTGATGTTTTAACTTCCTTGTGAAGTAGCTGTAAGCATTTAAGATATCAACTAAATCTTTTAACTGTTAAATATCTCGATAAATTTTGAAAACATAAAGAGAACAGATCACATTTTCAAAAGCTCATAAGATGTTCAGTCTTTATTTTGATACACTCTTTGTCAATTTCATCCAGTTTCAAGTCGTTTCTTAATTCCCATGTTTAATGAGACACTCTGTATGATGTTGTTGGTTTAGTTCAGTAAATATGTAAATTGTACACGTATAAACACATGTTGCAGTAAAATGTTTTATCAAGTTTTGATTATTTCTTTTCTTCCGGAGAAAAAGGCAAATTCAGCAGAAAATTCTTTTTGAATAAAAAGTTTTGATTGAAACGAAAAGTTCTAAAGATAATTTCATTAGCTAACATACATTCACCTAAATATTAGTTCATGAACTTACTACATTCTATATAACTTCATGTACTCACTACTTACATACATTCAGGATAATATTAGTTCATGAACTTACTACATTCTAGATAACTTCATGTACTCACTACATACATACATTCACCTTAATATTAGTTCATGAACTTATTACATTCTATATAACTTCATGTACTCACTACTTACATACATTCAGGATAATATTAGTTCATGAACTTACTACATTCTAGATAACTTCATGAACTTACTACTTACTTACATTCGCCTTAATATTAGTTCATGAATATGAAAATATTCATTATTTATTAATATATTAATATATTAATATTAATATTTGATTATGAATATTCGTATTTTGCGACAGGTTGCTAAGATATAAGAAAATAAGCTTCCATCTTCCATTTAATTTTTTCATTGTTTTAATTTGATCATGTGAGGTCCCACAACAATTTAGGGCACGATCGGTTCAGCCGTTTTACCGTTTATTGGATTCCAACAGACAAACACCCAAACAAGCAAAGTATACGTATACGGTATATATAGATAGCAATAGGGGTTGTATTAAGTTTTCAGCTCAATTAGACCATGATAGTTTCTTTCACTCAAAATATTCAATTTATGATGCTTTCTTAAACTTCAATTGATTAAAGCCAAGATAAATTCATGAACTTGCATTGATTAAAGCTAAGGTAAATTCATGAACTTACATTGATTTAAGCTAAGGTAAATTCATGAACTTTCATTGATAAAAGCTAAGATAAATTCATGAACTTGCATTGATTAAAGCTAAGGTAAATTCATGAACTTTCATTGAATAAAGCCAAGATAAATTCATGAGCTTTCATTGATTAAAGCTAAGGTAAATTCATGAGCTTTCATTGATTAAAGCTAAGGTAAATTCATGAACTTACATTGATTAAAGCTAAGGTAAATTCATGAACTTATATTAATTAAAGCTAAGGTAAATTCATGAACTTACATTGATTAAAGCTAAGGTAAATTCATGAACTTATATTGATTAAAGCTAAGGTAAATTCATGAACTTATATTGATTAAAGCTAAGGTAAATTCATGAACTTGCATTGATTTAAAGCCAAGATAAATTCATGAACTTTCATTGATTTAAAGCCGAGATAAATTCATGAACTTTTATTGATTAAAGCTAAGGTAAATTCATGAACTTTTATTGATTAAAGCTAAGGTAAATTCATGAACTTCATTGATTTAAAGCCAAGGCAAATTTATGAAAATTTTGAATCAATGAAAATTTCAATGATGAATCCTTTGGCTCCACCAATTTTTCATTTTAAAATGTAAAATAAAACTTTATTTAACTTACATGCATTAGGTTAAAAAGAGCTTTGCCTCTACATATTATCTAAAAGAAAAGGTTCCAAATTAATCAAAATCAAAGATTCTTCGTATTATATAGATTATAGAAGATATATAAACTAGAAAATGAAAGTAAAAATAATATGTAGAAAAAGAGGTTCGAGTGGCCAGATGGGTATATAAAGCATACGAAAGAAGGTAGAGGGAATTGACAGATTTTATCATAAAAAGGAAAAATATTGATTTTATTTTGTTTACAGTTTTAGAAAAATTTTAAAGTCAAATGTGACTGAAAATAAGTTTAATGGCAGAAATAAAATAAAACTAAAAAGGATTAAATCAAACATAAGTAGATATAAAAGGTTAATAATACGAGATGTAAAAATAAAATAAATAAATATTTTAACAAAAAGAAAATAACAAGGAATTTGTTCGTTTAGAATTATAAAATACTAACTGAAGGGTCCAGCGTTGCCCGTGGAAAAAATTGAAAAAAATTAAAAAATAAAAATTAAAAAATTGAAAAAAATCGACACCCCCCGGCCACACATGAGTGTCAACAAAAAAAATCAGTCCAATCGGTCCAGCCGTTTGGCCGGCTATACACAATATATATTTATATACGAATGTCTTGTTTTATTGTGTAGATATTAAAGCAGAATTTTAAACGATTACTGAAGATTAAACTAGTTTTTTCAAAACCTGTAAATCCACCTGTTTTTCATTTCTTTAAATATTGGGATGCAAAGTATGAGAAAGTTTTGACAGGTTTTTAAATATTTAAAATATGTGGAATGATATTATGAAGAAATTATGGATTTCTTTGTTACATCGGATTCACATCTATCTCTAGTATTCCGTAAACTTTCAAACTATTGAAGTCTAACAGTGATTTTAGTTTGAAGTTCTAAATACTTCTTCAAGTCCGGTTTATTGATTAATGGATACTAGATAATTCAAGGGATTAGAAGTGAAAAAAAATTAAAATTATGATATGGTCATTCTTTCTTGTTTAACTCATTAAAAGACCGACTATATTTCAGAAATAAAATAATATATTAATGCATCTCTTGCAAAATAATTTTGCAAGTTTAAGGAATATTCAATTTATAAGAATCTCTAACGACATTTAAAGCAAACAATCCTTCACTTTGTTGACAGTTGTTAACAAATCTTCTATTTTACTCAAGAGTTGTCGAGATTTCACCGAGTCCACGCTCTTACTGAGAGGTATGAGAGAAGGAGAGAGGAGAGGGATTCTAACACCTGCCTCGGAACCCCCTCACCCTCCTCCCACCAGCCCCTCTGCCCTAGAGTGGGTAATGACTCCCAACCTCTGTTCCTCCATCAGTTCCTGGCATCATGAACCTCCGTACTAGGTTCAAGTTCTCGTCCTGCATATTTAATCCTTTCCTGCGACGGAATATTCTTTATCAAATAAAAAGGTTGTGAAGCTCAAAACAAAAGGAATAACCCGTTTTAGCAAACTCTGTCGACGTGTTCTAAACTAAAATGTAATTTTAATTAAAAAAATGTAATTAGAAAAAATACTTTTCACTTTTATCTTTTATTCCTAAGGGTTCTATGCAGAATTGGTACGCTTACAAAACAAAATAGAAAATTATTTTGTTATTTCATTAATTTATCTTTTATTAATATAAAATACAAAAGGTAGATATATGTTTATATGCAATTACATTTCAACGCATGAAATTTATGATATTAACGCTTAATAATTATTATTATTTTATTATACGAATATAGAAATTAAATACAATTCTTATTTTGTGCGCTGTAATCTGATCTATAATGTGTAATACAAAATCTCTCTTAGAAATAGGGTTTTCGTCCAAGATATAAAATATACAATATGCATCAAAATATACAAAAAAAAAACTGTACGTCTAGTCTGCGATAAGAGTTATAATTCTCACACTGCCCCACTTTTTTTAAAAACTGCCATAGTCCCTTTCCAAGATCTAATACAAGTAAATGCCCTCTGTTTTTTGTACGAATATAGGTTAAATCGTCTGCCATCATCATTTAATAATTCATGAAGTTTGAACAGGGATACAGACCCCCAATATATGCTAAGAAATGGCAAAGACTTTGCAATTCCACGATTTAAGTACCAGTATTTAAAATCACATCCTCTTTTTTATTTTCCGAATTTATGGAATAAATTTAAACCGGTGTTTAAAAATAGCACTGTTAACAGCTCAACGCTTACCAGTAATTTAAAATCTTATTTTCTACACAAACTTGATAAAAGGTATAGCATAGATTGTAACTGTTATTTTTGCACTGTTTTTTTTTACTTTTAACGCCGCATAAATCTAAAGTTTTCAGGAACCGGGACCAGACAGCCAGATATTGAGCTCTCCGGGTTTCCCGGCACTGTAAAAATCATAGAATTCATCAATGTGTTTTTAACCCTTGTATATGTATTTTAATTTACATGTGCCTAATAAAATATTTATTATTTATTTATTTATTTTAAACATAAAACATTTTCAACTGAACCATAACACACTTTGCTAAATCATTTTGAATTAAATTAAACTCTGAAATGTGCGAAGAACAAGTGAAAAATCCGGGAAATGCGATAAAGGAATGGAGACTAAAGTTCACGCTGGATTAACATGGTTTATAATTATCTTTTCACTTCCTCTACTTATTTGGGCAATATTTGTGCACTCCGACACGATGCCAGCTTTAATAAAACTGATGACAGTCATGGAGTCTATGAACGAATCAGATCTTATTAAACATTCAAAAAACAGAACCCAAGAAGTAGAATTGATATTCAGAGAAATCGAAAGTATTTTAAGCATCTCGTCAATCTGTGGAATAATAATTTCAATACTCATAATATTGAGAACCTCAACATTAGTTCTAACTATATCAGGTAACTTTCTTTTACAATACATTTTACTGGCCTTGAACTGCATTGGTATTGTATTGTAAAAGTGAATTTAACTGCAACTTTATAAATTCATGTGATCACTTTTGAAACATTTTAGGAGATAGAAGTTGTAAACAATGTTGCAAACCAATTCAGTATATATGGGCTCAGGTATAATATTATCAGTTTAATCTATTCAAAAGAAGTAATTAAAATAAAAAGAAATATCATGCATGGAAGCACTTTCCTATGTGAATAATCATAGGCTTGAGATTGGACCTCTAAAGCCATCTGAAAAACAAATACAAAACAGATAAAAAGTGGTGTTAACGATCGGGAATTTATTCAAAAAAAAATAACAACAATACTTCATTTAGCATTTAGTTTTCATACGTAAACAAATATTATATGTTTAGGTTAGAACGGAGGTGAACTTTGTTTTGATGGAGACAACACCACAGCATTCTCCTCAAGAATAATGGGGAACAGGTGGTCAAAGAGCTGGAAGCTATACATGTTTTATTATTGGTGTACTGATCTTAAAATTTGTTTATATGTGAAATTGCAATAAAATGCAGTAATAAAATAAGCTAAGTCTGTGAGCAAATGAAAACTTGTAAATAGGGTTTATACAAACATTTAATTTGGTTTAAAGAAGTTCTTTGTTTAATATATATAGAAAAGATGCAGATATTCACATGAAAATTAAAGTCTTTTTATGGCAACTAAAATATAAACATTCGTCGGTCGACAGGCATCTTGCAATTAACCTATCATAAAGTGTCTTAAATTTTTCAGAGTTTCTTGTCCAGCCCGTTTCATAAGTTTGTCATAGCTTGCAATGTTTCCATTCTTCAAGAAACAAATTTAGCAATTTTTTCCATCTTTTATACATACCTCGAAAAAAATCTCTGGTGTATACATCTACACAAATATTGGATGTGAAAAACTACGGGTAAGAAAAGAAAAATTACTCTTTCTATTATGTAAAAAAAATACAATATATCATTTATTCTTTCATCCAATATGCATGGTTACATAATCCACCCATCAATTAGACATGTACAATGTATACTGTACAGAGTACAGGGCAAAATCTCAACTTTTACTTGCTTTAAAGCAGGGATTTTTTACTTTTAATGGAATGATCATAATATCGACAATAATTTATGATCGGCTGGGACATTTAGGGAGATCAATTTCACACCTTTTATTCCAGAGGCCAGTTATTTTCATTTCTTATTATTTCAAATAAATTAAAATTAAAATGGAATTTTATTCTGAAAAGCTTTGAAATCTAATCCGGCTCTTGACACTTTCACTTAATTGATAAAACATTTTACAAATGAAGATAAGAATTTATAAGTAGGGAAGAATTGCTAAGAAGATCGAGAAGGGTACATAGGAAGAGAAGGATTGATAAAAAGAGAAGGATTGATAAGATCAAAAGGATTGATAAGAATAGAAGGATTGATAAGAATAGAAGGATTGATAAGAAGAGAAGGATTGATAAAAAGAGAAGGATTTGATAAGAAGAGAAGGATTGATAAGAAGAGAAGGATTGATAAGAAGAAAAGGAATGATAAGAAGAGAAGGATTAATAAGAATAGAAGGATTGATAAGAAGAGAAGGATTGATAAGAAGAGAAGGATTGATAATAATAGAAGAAATGATAAGAAGAAGAGGATTGATAAGAAGAGAAGGATTGTTAAGAATAGAAGGATTGATAAGAACAGAAGGATTGATAAGAAGAAAAGGATTGATAAGTAGAGAAGGATTGATAAGAAGAGAAGGATTGATAAGAAGAGAAGGATTGATAAGAAGAAAAGGATTGATAAGGAGAGAAGGATTGATAAGAAGAGAAGGATTAATGAGAAGTGAAGGATTGATAAGAAGAGAAAAAATTATAAGAAGAGAAGGTCTGATAAAATAAGAGGATTGAAAAAAAGAGAAGGATGATAAGAAGAGAAGGATTGAAAAGAAGAGAACGATGAATAAAAGAGAATTTTAGATAAGATGAAAAGAATAACTAAGATGAGACGGATAAATAAGATAAGATATCTACATGATAAGAAAAATTATTAAGATGAGAATAATCCAGATATGATAAAAAGAATGTATGAGAAGGAAAAATAAGATGGGAAGAATAAATATTTAGAGAAGGCCAAATAAGACGAGAAGGATAAATAAGATGGGAAGGATAAATAAGATGGGAAGGATGGAAAGATTAATGATGTATTTAACACGATATTCCTAATTAAACATAATCAAGATGTATTAGTTCGCGTTAATAGTTTTTTTAGTTGGTTCTATGCATATCCAAGTAGATATATATTGAAGGAAAATCTCTCTTCTTATTTCAATGTTTAGCTTAAGAAAATGCGTAATTTATGATAAATAACTTTGATCTCGACTGAAAGCTAGATTTAAAAAAGTGTCTGCAGATGTTTTATTGCATATATTATTTATTTCGTTGATACATAGCAATGATTAAAAATAACATCGTGGTGGAGAAAAACACTCGAAACTTTCTTGAAAGGTGTTTCAGCGTTTTGCCTCGGACTAGAATGTATGCTAATATAAAGGGTCTTCATGCTAAATTTTAAATAAAAAAAACTTTAAAGGGAGACTTCTTTAAAAAATTACAAACGAGGTGGAGATTTTTCGATAAAATGGAGTTATACGTACACAGACGATCTGAGACTTTTAAATTTAGTTATTTGTAAAGCTTGGAATAAGATGGCTGACATCATAATAAACAATCTTGCTGTTGCCAAACCTTTCAACTGTTGACCAATGAGAGGGCGACTTGATTAAAGTACCTTTGGACAGTAAATACATATATTTGGGTCGATTTTTACATTAGTTATGCCCTTAAACAACTTTCCACCTGCACTTTTTCAATTAATTTTTTGAAAAATTTAAGATCATACTTTGTATGACATATATTAAATAAAAGGATATCTAGAATTTCATGTTATTGGTTTCCCTCCACTCAGATCCTAAAAACAAAAATCCAATATATTCATTAGTAGAAAGGATATTTAATGAAATTGTAGCTAAGAATTTGATTATTAGTTACATAGATATTCATGAATTATTTATATTTTCTATGCCACATTGTACTGTACATGCGTTTATTAATTTACCTGGTGCAGTACTGTTGAATAATATTGGATTAGGATAAAGGGGTCTACTGTATACATCACTCTCTCTAGTGAAAAAAAAGAATAGAAATGGTCCTAAAATAACATATTATACAGCAGCATCAAAACAAAGAACTCAGGGGCAACGCATCATTTTTAAGGAACAGGGCCCAAGGGGTGGAATAAGAAGATATTACTATTGTATTTTCCATATCAACCAGAAAGCCAAAAATCATATGTATTCGCTCTAACTTGATATATTAACTTGTTTTTTGTTGGACTGTAATATCACATCAGAGCTTTAGTCCTTTCCCTTCAACTTCTGTGGGGGCACTGGGTTTGTTTACATTCCTCTTACAGTGTACAGTACATAATATGCGCATATCTGAGTTGGGCGTTCCTGTATATAGTTCCTTGGTTTCAGGCAACTTTTGAATATAAAGGTTTCAAGCATGCAATAAGACACATTAACTCTAGTATTGAATAGAAATTTCAGATCTTTCTATCCTATATTTTTCTGCCGACCACGGTAAACTATTTTCCAAAATGATCATAACTACAAGATATGATAATGATAAAAGAAAATGTGTATTTGTCATAATATCGGATAAGGTTTCAACATATTGGACAAGAAGAGATTAATTGTGTTATTGGTTTCAGATCTTTACTCGATACTACATAGTTCAAACCTATATATATTAAATGAGTGTCCACAAAAAATTTCAGCGTTGTCCGTGAAAAAAAAAATTTTAAATAAAAAAAACAAAAAAAATTAAAAAATAAAAATTTTGAAAAAAATATTTCGATTTTTAGCCTATAACACCCCCCAACCACCTATGTCACCCCCAGGCTACGTATGAGTGTCGACAAATGTCAGCCCATTAGGTTCAGCCATTTGGCCGGCTATAGGGAACACATATACGAATGTCTTGTTCTATTATATAGATTATATATTATAACTTATATATTATAAATTATATATTATATATTATGTATTATAAATTATATAATATATAATAGATATTATATATTATGTATTATAAATTATATAATATATATGAAGGGGATACATGAATTTCAAAATCTAAATTTCTCTTATTTAGAGTTGTCTTTCGAACCCGTTATTATCCATTGAATGTATATAGGTTTTTTTGTCTTTTGGTGTAAAGGCTACATTATAAATTGCCCTCTATTTTTCAACGAGAATAATGAAATTCTATTATATTCCATCAATTCATGGAGAAAATAATCAAATCTCAAAATTTTATTTTTTAGAAATCAGTTTTCTTTTGAAAATGAAATTATATTTTTTCCGAAGAAAGTCTTTTCTTCTAAAAAATTCAAAATTTCTTTGTTAATCTTTATATTTGGATTCTATATTTTATTTCAAAAGTTATTCCGAGAAAGCATCAAAATCAAATATTTCTTTTTATCATCCTAATTATAGATATTATCAGTCTAATTTAAGTCTCGATACATTTAAAAACAAATTTGATTGCTTTTTACTTTTACTACAGTGGTCGGCGATTATATCAATACAATGAAGACGACTTTTTAGAAACAATGCTTTGATCTTTAACAAGCATTTTTAAATTACAAGTTTACCAGTAAATAAAGAGAAACTGTTAATTGACAATTGTAATAATGTTAAAGTGTTTCTGCTGTTTGAAAGCTTGGTAGAAATAAAAATCAAATCAGAAATTCGTCTTCATTGTATTGATAAATATGACGACAACTGTATCTGATTTTTTGTTACACCAATAATGGGACACCTGTATCTGATTATTATTACACCAATAATGGGACACCCAGTATCTGATTATTAATACACCAGTAATGGGACACCTGTATCTGATTATTTTTACACAAGTAATGGGACACCCTGTATCTGATTTTTTGTAACACCAATAATGGGACACCTGTATCTGAATATTATTACACCAATAATGGGACACCCAGTATCTGATTATTAATACACCAGTAATGGGACACCTGTATCTGATTATTTTTACACAAGTAATGGGACACCCTGTATCTGATTTTTTGTTACACCAGTAATGGGACACCTGTATCTGAATATTATTACACCAATAATGGGACACCTGTATCTGATTATTATTACACAAATAATGGGACACCCTGTATCTGATTATTGCTACACCCTTTATTACACCAATAATGGGACACCTTGCATATACACATTACTACACCAGTAATGGGACACCGGCCATGTATCTGATTATAGTTAAACCAGTAATGGGACACCACTGTTAATGGTACACCCTGTATCTGATTATTGTTAAACCAGTAATAGGACACCCTGTATATGATTATTATTACACCAGTAATGGGACACCCTGTATCTGATGATTATTACACCAGTAATGGGACACCTGTATCTGATTATTATTACATCAGTAATGGGACACCCTGTATCTGATTATGATTACACCAGTAATGGGGCACCTGTATCTGATTATTTTTACATCAGTAATGGGACACCCTGTATCTGATTATTATTACACCAGTAATGGGACACCTGTATCTGATTATTATTACACCAGTAATGGGACACCTGTATCTGATTATTATTACACCAGCAATGGGACACCCTGTATCTGATTATTATTACACCAGTAATGGGACACCTGTATCTGATTATTTTTACACAAGGAATGGGACACCCTGTATCTGATTATTATTACAACAATAATGGAACACCTTGTTTCTGATTATTGTTACACCAGTAATGGGACACTTTGTATCTGATTATTGTTACACCAGTAATGGTACACCCTGTATCTGATTATTATTACACCAGTAATGTGACACCCTGTATCTAATGTATTGTTACACCAGTAATAGGACACTCTGTATCTAATGTATTGTTACACCAGTAATGGGACACCCTGTATCTAATGTATTGTTACACCAGTAATGGGACACCCTGTATCTAATGTATTGTTACACCAGTAATGGGACAACTGTATCTAATGTATTGTTACACCAGTAATGGGACACCCTGTATCTAATATATTGTTACACCAGTAATGGGACACCCTGTATCTAATGTATTGTTACACCAGTAATGGGACACCCTGTATCTAATGTATTGTTACACCATTAATGGGACACCCTGTATCTAATGTATTGTTACACCATTAATGGGACACTCTGTACCTGTAAAGGTTATAAATATGATGGGACGAAGCTCCCATACTGTTTGTTCTCCGTAGCTGTGTAGTATACGGAGTATAGTGGAGAACAGGTAGAGCAGTCTTGTAGAACTGTCGATAGCTGAATATAACGATATATTAGATATATCTACAAATTAAAGGGACTGTACTGAATATAACGATATATTAGATAATCTACAGATTAATGGTACTGTACTGAATATAACGATATATTAGATTATCTACAGATTAATGGTACTGTGCTGAATATAACGATATATTAGATAATCTACAGATTAAAGGGACTGTACTGAATATAACGATATATTAGATTTTCTACAGATTAAAGGGACTGTACTGAATATAAACGATATATTAGATAATCTACAGATTAATGGTACTGTACTCGTAATATTAAGTTAATTGCATCTAAAGAGTGGCATGTCCGATTCATAATGATATCTTTTAAATTAATGAAATATTGTTCACAAATTGGAAATTATGTTTTTTCTAATTTTGTACAAAGAAACCAAAATTAAAACTTATTAATTAGAATATCTCATTTATCCCCCATCAGACAAAGGATACCGTTTGTGAATCGAACAATCTGTTACAGTTTACGTCTCCAGGTCCCTTTAAGTATACGGTAGTTTCAAGTGTCAACAACATATCAATGTTTATATTTTCGAAAACTGATTATATTCTGGTTTCTCTAGTATAGTGACTTGCACAGTTCTACTTCAGGAAGACATATAGTAAGTATTAGAATTTAACAGTTTTATACCTAGAAAAACGACAATATTTTCCACATCAGTGTTCAGATAAAGGTTTCAATGGTATCGTTGTGAATGAGAATTTCTATCTAGTTTAGTAAGGTCACTTGAAATTACGCAAGCAGTCCCGTAAGGTTGCATTACATCTTTTATTTCAAACCAAAACTAAGCGAAACTTTAGAAAATATTTTTAAAATTTGAAATGATTATATTACCTGACTGTATGATAGTTTCCATTTTTCTTTTTCCTTTTCTCTTTTTCTCTTCCTAAATGTTAGAATAAAATCGAAATCCTAGATAAAAACCAGAGTCAAGTTTTGTTAAAACGGATAATTCTGTATGAACAAATATCAGAATATCTGATAATAAATATCAGAATATCTGATAACAAATTAATGATCAAACTCTTGAAATTATCAAAAAAGTGTAGTTAAACAGTTAGGAAAACTATTTACTTAAAAAATTATACAATACACCGAGGATTCTAAGTAAACTTTTTGAAGTTAAGAGTATAATTAAACATTTTTAAACCATAAAACGTGTTAAAAAACATATTTCTCTTTTCTAACTCTTTTCTCACTCTTTTTCTCTCTTTCCCTTTTTATCTGTTTTCTCTTTCGCTCTTTCTCTTTTTATTATTTTTGTCTTTTTCTCTACCGTTCTCTCTCTTTCTTACTTTTCTCCTAACATGTCACCTAGTTTGTTGAAATTCAAACCGTTTTGAGATAAAAAACAGAATGATTAGTTGTTATAATTTTTCCTAGATTTAATTACCTTTCTTATAGCTTGTAGACCTAATTGAAATGTACTGCGTTTGTACAGGGTGTCCCAAGAAACATGGAAATTCAGTGACGAATTCGATATCGTCTTTTTAAATAATTCTTTGATTTAGTATAGTGATACCTAATGAGAAAGCTGTAATCTGTAAGAGTTTCGTCTGCTATGTTTACAATTTGTTTGTTTATGTTTTGACTGCATACGGTTGTTCTTAGTAAAACCAGAAAATTGCAGTATACAAACAGAGTAAACTTGTCCGTCTTCACTGTTCATCGTGCGGAGACATTATAGACACATCTTTACAGTCTTTTACTGTTTTCATAAAATAAACTCTAGCAGACATAATAATATTATTGCTTTTGAAATTAGGTATTACAATGCTAATTCATAACAAAGACGATATCGAATTTGTCACTGAATTCCCATGTTTTTTGGGACACCCTGTACTGTATGATATAGCCTTTGATCATTTAGCATTTAATATTCTGATATTTTTCCATTTTGTACATTGTACATATTACAATGCAACATGTTTATTATTATGTAAAATAACCCAAATGTATGGAATTGTACACGTGTACATCCTTCTATCTGTACTGACCTGTTCTGTAACTATCCCGGTTAGATCTAGGACCAAGAGCAAACTGTATCTCCTCCCCTTGAATCCCTTGAATCCCTTGAATCCCTGGACAATGTTCATCTTCCCCTAGGACGAATTTCTGGATCCCCCTGGGTACTAGGGAGCTACGACGGTCTTCTCGCTCACATATGGATGCAACATGTCGATCCCCGTCGGAGAAAACAGAACGAGGTATTCTATCCAAATCAGGAATTGAAGACCTGGAACATCGTTCCAAATCCGAAACCAAAGACCGAGGTCCTCTTTCCAGCTCGGGGATTAAAGACCGTGGACCCCTTTCCAGTTCAGGAACCAAAGACCGAGGTCCCCGTTCCAAATCTGAAAGAATTGACTTTTGTCCTCTTAGACTTTCAGAAAGAATAGAACGAGGTGCCCTCTCCCCCTCGCAAAGTATTGAACGAGGTGCCCTCTCCCCCTCGCAAAGTATTGAACGAGGTGCCCTCTCCCCTTCGCAAAGTATTGAACGAGGTGCCCTCTCCCCCTCGGAAAGAATAGATCTAGGTGTTGTCTCTTGTTGAAATCTATTGAAGTTTTCCTCTTGTATTGAGAGTTTCCTGTCATCCAGACATCCCTTAAAACAAACTTTGATGTAAAATTGGGAACAATGCGTGACATAGAAAACTTTAATAAATGAAAATATTGGTTTTTTTTCTTAATAAAGAATGTTTTGACAAACTTAGAAAAGTTCAAAAATATGCTGAACTAAATAAAATTAATTGTATCTAAGATTGTACAATGTGTATTGTACAAACATACAGTTGCAAGTATAAAAGTATTCGGTAATTAATATATTAAAATAAACAATCTATTAAAAGTATAAACATAAACATTACACAATAATCGCAACGTCGCAATTGTTACCATACAATATATTTATATTTAAAGTAAATACTAACTGTCACAACTTCACGAAAACTGTAATTAATTAATCGCTATACTTTGGCAACCTAATGGTGTAAACATTAAAATTTCAAACTTGATATTTTGATCCTGGAGAATTTCAGCAACATCAGGTTTCAAAGAAATAATAGTGTGTGACTATTAAAATCCTAATCCCGTTTTTTCGGGTCACTCTGTATAAAGTTTAATTAATGTATTATTAGGAACCTAATTAATTAATTAACTCAAAATCAAACTAGTAGATTATACATTTACCTTTTCATTAGAAATATTTTCCTATTTAAAAGTTTCAGTCAGATCATTTTCATAAATTAATTAATAATGAAAAAAAAAATAATTAAAATTCTCAATTTTCCTTTATCCAAAAATAAACTGAAACACAGATGGACACAGATACATCTTGTACCAACTCCCAGATAGTATACAGGGTAAACAGACAGATACATCTTGTACCAACTACCAGATAGTTTACAGGGTAAACAGACAGATACATCTTGTACCAACTCCCAGGATAGTATACAGGGTAAACAGACAGATCCATCGTGTACCAACTCCCCAGATAGTATACAGGGTAAACAGACAAATACATCTTGTACCAACTCCCCAGATAGTATACAGGGTAAACAGACAAATACATCTTGTACCAACTCCCAGATAGTTTACAGGGTAAACAGACAGGTACATCTTGTACCAACTACCAGATAGTTTACAGGGTAAACAGACAGATACATCTTGTATCAACTCCCAGATAGTTTACAGGGTAAACAGACAGATACATCTTGTACCAACTACCAGATAGTATACAGGGTAAACAGACAGATACATCTTGTACCAACTCCCCAGATAGTTTACAGGGTAAACAGACAGATACATCTTGTACCAACTCCCCAGATAGTATACAGGGTAAACAGACAGATACATCTTGTACCAACTCCCAGGTAGTTTACAGGTTAAGTACGAAGTGTCCCAATAAACATGGGAATTAAGTGAAGACTTTTAAGTCGTCTTTGTTTTCAAAGATGTGTTTTATCATTTTTGCACTTTAGAAATATTAATTTTCTACTTGTAAAACGTATATATTAGTATTTATTAAATTGCAAAGAAAGTGTTAAACAATTACAAGAGTTTGGTTGCTGTAGTTTTCTGTAGATTTCTGTAGGTTTCTGTAGGTTTCTGTAGGTTTCTGTGGGTTTCTGTTGGTTTCTATAGGTTTCTGTGGGTGTGTGTGGGTTTCTGTAGGTTTCTGTAGTTTTCTGTAGATTTCTGTAGGTTTCTGTAGGTTTCTGTAGGTTTCTGTGGGTTTCTGTAGGTTTCTGTTGGTTTCTATAGGTTTCTGTGGGTGTGTGTGGGTTTCTGTAGTTTTCTGTAGTTTTCTGTAGATTTCTGTAGATTTCTATAGGTTTCTATAGGTTTCTATAGGTTTCTGTAGGTTTCTATAGGTTTCTTTAGGTTTCTGTAGGTTTTTTATATGTTTCTGTAGGTTTCTGCAGGTAAATAAGGACACGTCTGTCATCCTCGAAATGTTTAAAGGGCACTATTAAAATTGGAAACTCCAATCTGCCAAGATTAAGGTTTTAAGGATACCGAATTGCCATCTGTGCATGGAGGCTCATCTGAAATTACGCTAACAGTCCCTTTAAGAGTATAAAAACATGTTATTTACCTTACTAGCTGCTATACTTCTGAGTTTAGGTTTAGGAGTATCAGAATATTTGGAACTTAAAGATACTCCAGATCTTAAGGTGGCAGTTTTCCTACACAAATACAAGTACAGTGGTCGAATTGGAAGGGAAGACGACATTTATCTCGAAGATATAGTCTAATGATCACGGTAAGTGATGGCTGACCGGTATACAATTTTCAACAAAAACGTTAATACAACTCAGATTCTCTTCATAGGCCATCTTCAGTTACATTTTTTTCTGATTACTTTAAAAAGTATAGTCAGAGAATAATTATTTTTTACATATCTGTATATTTATATATACATATATATATATATATATATATTATATACATATATTTATATATATTTACAGTGGAAACCAGAAATCTTTGAAATGGGAAGACGACATAAAAGCAATAATTAATTGTATTTTATGTTGCTAAAAAAGCAAGTTATTAAATGAAATGGGCCTGTTTTCACTGCAAAATTGCTGCGTCTAATGCTCATTGGACTATTAGGTCATAAATGTCGTCTTCCTATTCCAGAGTTTTCTGATTCTGACCGTATATATTCTGATAAGTATGACTAGTGTTGCTTTGTAACATCTTCATTTTTCTCTTTTTTATTATTTTAAATATCAATTTTTAACACAGATTATATGCAATCTATATTTTGATTAAGTTCTTCCAATCAAGTTTTTAAAATAATAATATTAATAATAATAATAATAATACCTAATTGAGGATTTTTTCTGTCGGGTACACGGATCTTCAGTTGGACAGGCACTATGGCACAAAAATATCTTTCTTTTTTTAATCCCTTTTTGGACTTTAATTTCTAACCATAGCTTTTGGAAAACTTAATCTCATGAAAAAGCTTTGTTAATTGATAAAATAGAAATGCAAAGGAACTCAACGCTCGCATCAAACTATAATTTTCTAACCCCTATATCTTTGCAACTTAATGGCGTAAATCTTGGATAATTCTAACGTTGAATTTTATTGGTAGAATTAAAAATTTTATATATCCAAGGTGTAGGATATCAAGTTGAAAGATATAAAGATGAATAAAGTATCCGAGAGTACTCAGTTCCTCACTGAAAATGCTTTTGTATCGTGCTAAACTTGATGTTCTTGTGTTCCTTTGACAAGATGCATGGTTCTCCAATCCTTGATCAGGTTCTTCTTTAATATCCGTCCCGTCCCTGAGAAATATAAAACCTTACTCCCGACCCTGAGAAATATTAAACCTTACTCCCGTCCCTGATACTACTAAACCTTACTCCCGTTCCTTATACATATTAATCCTTACTCCCGTCCCTGATAATAATAATCCTTACTTCCGTCCCTGATAAATATTAAACCTTACTCCCGTCCCTGATAAATATTAAACCTTACTCCCGTCTCTGATAAATATTAAACCTTACTCCCGTCCCTGATAAATATTAAACCTTACTACCGTCCCTGATAATATTAAACCTTACTCCCGTCCCTGATAAATATTAAACCTTATTCCTGTCCCTGATAAATATTAATCCTTACTCCCGTCCCTGATAATATTTAACCTTACTCCCGTCCCTGATAAATATTGATCCTTACTCCCGTCCCTGATTTATTTTAAACCTTACTCCCGTCCCTGATAAATATTAAGACTTATTCCCGTCCCTGATATTACTAATTCTTACTCCCGTCCCTGATAATACTAATTCATACTCCCGTCCCTGATAATACTAATCCTTACTCCCGTCCCTGATAATACTAATCCTTACTCCCGTCCCTGATAATACTAATTTTTACTCCTTCCCTGATAAATACTAATCCTTACTCCCGTCCCTGATAATAATAATCCTTACTCCTGTCCCTGATAAATATTAAACCTTACTCCCGTCCCTGATAATAATAATCCTTACTCCTGTCCCTGATAAATTTTAATCCTTACTCCCGTCCCTGATAATAATAATCCTTACTCCTGTCCCTGATAAATATTAATCCTTACTCCCGTCCCTGATAAATATTAATCCTTACTCCCGTCCCTGATAATACTAATCCTTATTCCCGTCCCTGATAAATATTAATCCTTACTCCCGTCTCTGATAAATATTAATCCTTACTCCCGTCCCTGATAAATATTAATCCTTACTCCCGTCCCTGATAAATATTAATCCTTACTCTCGTCCCTGATAAATATTAATCCTTACTCCCGTCCCTGATAAATATTAAACCTTACTCCCGTCCCTGATAATACTAAACCTTACTCCTGTCCCTGATAAATACTAATCCTTACTCCCGTCCCTGATAAATATTAATCCTTACTCCCGTCCCTGATAAATATCAATCCACACTCCCGTCCCTGTAAATATTAATCTTAACTCCCGTCCCTGTAAATATTAATCTTAACTCCCGTCCTAAGCAGAATTTATAATTCCTAAAGAAACTGTCAACGCATATTAAGTGAAATATTTAAAAGTGTAATTTTTTAAAATTTAGATCTCAGTTCCTTCTTCTTATTTTCGCGTCACTTTCAATCACTATAAACTTTTAAAAGATTATAAAATTGACATGTTTAAAGTTTGAAAAAAAAACTAATTTCTGGAATTGATCTAAACCTGAAATACAGAAGAAAGATTGAATATTAAATATAAAAATTGGATTTATGTAGAATAGTGTCTGTAGACTTATACAATATACATTTAGTTTCAACTCAAAACATTAAAGAAAATGTTTACACAAGGAATATAAACAAAAATTAGTATTTTCCCCATCATATCAAACATTGTTTATCTTTCCAAAACACAGAAAATTAAATTAAAATGTTAATTTACAATTCAAATAAGGTTTTTAAATGGTTTCACCCTTTTGATCTAATCTAAATGATGATATAGATGTAAAACATGACTTTCTTAAAATTAAAAGAAATTTTTACTGAGAATTGAATTAAAGGATGAAATCTTTCTCCAAATGAATAAAATTAATCAAATCAATAGTGGAAAGTTTTCATCGATTTCTCATTTGTTTATAGACATTTTTTACTTTTTTTCCAGGGCAAAAGTTATTTTAAAAAAAACTTTTTTTTAACTGATTGAATTAAAAGTATTAACCTGTTGGATGAGTATTTCGGTTCTACTTCTTCATTTCTATTTGAACTTTCCTGTTAAATACAAAATTTTTAAAAATTTTGATAAGATATCTTAAGATATTTTAACTTAAGAATTTGATCTAATATGAGGTCTTAACAGTACACACTCGAAAATACCATTATGAAATCAAAATATTTAACTTAAAAAAATTAAAAATTTAGAAGTTTTCTTTGAAAGGAACTCAAATGGTCAAATACCTACAATTTGTTAATCTTATGTTGTAAACCTTTTATATTTTAAACTTAGATAATTTGGTCTAACAGAATTTATAGTTTGAAATATCATTGGGTTGCAAAGATAAAGAGATTAAAAAATCAGAGTTTGTGGAAAAATCTCAGTTTCTTTTGTAAAAATACTGGGTTTAAGAAAGAATGTGACATTGAAAGGATTTGTATTCGATGAAACTTTTCCAATTTGAGTTCAATGTTTACTGTTCGGCTTAACAGAAGCTTTTTCATTTAAAATAATGTTCCTTTAAGTTTTCATTTACGTCCAAGGATGCAGATTTTCCGCATTTTCTCCAGGAGGGACAACAACAGCAAACTAAAATAAAATCCAGGGTAAAATTTGGATTGGATATGGATTGGATAGAATAGGAACTATAAACGGGTTGTGTATGATTTGGGAACTAAGAATAGATTGTATAGAGTTAGAACTTAGAATAGATTGTTTAGAGTTAGAACTAAGAATATATTTTATAGAGTTAGAGCTAAGAATAGATTGTATAGAGTTAGAACTAAGAATAGATTGTATAGAGTTAGAACATAGAGTTAGAACTAAGAATGGATTGTATAGAGTTAGAACTTAGAATAGATTGTACTGAGTTAGAACTAAGAATATATTGTATAGAGTTAGAACTAAGAATAGATTGTATAGAGTTAGCACTTAAAATAGATTGTATAGAGTTAGAACTTAGAATAGATTGTATAGAGTTAGAACTAAGAATGTAGTGTATACAGTTAGAACTAAGAATGGAGTGTGTACAGTTAGAACTAAGAATGGAGTGTGTACAGTTATTACTAAGAATGGAGTGTATACAGTTAGAACTAAGAATGGAGTGTATACAGTTAGAACTAAGAATGGAGTGTATACAGTTAGAACTAAGAATAAAGTGTATACAGTTAAAACTAAGAATGGAGTGTATACAGTTAGAACTAAGAATGAAGTGTATACAGTTAGAACTAAGAATGGAGTGTATACAGTTAGAACTAAGAATAGATTGTATACAGTTAGAACTAAGAATGGAGTGTATACAGTTAGAACTAAAAATGGAGTGTATACAGTAAGAACTAAGAATGTAGTTTATACAGTTAGAACTAAGAATGGAGTGTATTCAGTAAGAACTAAGAATGGAGTGTATACAGTTAGAACTAAGAGTGTAGTGTATACAGTTAGAACAAAGAATGGAGTGTATACTGTATACAGTTAAAACTAAGAATGAGGTGTATACAGTTAGAACTAAGAATGGAGTGTACACAATTTAGAACTAAGGATGGAGTGTATACAGTTAGAACTAAGAATGGAGTGTATACAGTTAAAACTAAGAGTGGAGTGTATACAGTTAAAACTAAGAGTGGAGTGTATACAGTTAAAACTAAGAGTGGAGTGTATACAGTTAAAACTGAGAATGGTGTGCATACAGTTAGAACTAAGAATGGAGTGTATACAGTTAAAACTAAGAATGAAGTGTATACAGTAAGAACTAAGAATGGAGTGTATACAGTTAGAACTAAGGATGGAGCGTACACAATTTAGAAGTAAGAATTGAGTGTATACATTTAAAACTAAGAGTGGAGTGTATACAGTTAAAACTGAGAATGGTGTGCATACAGTTAGAACTAAGAATGTAGTGTATACAGTTATAACTAAGAATGGAGTGTATACAGTTAAAACTAAGAATGAAGTGTATACAGTAAGAACTAAGAATGGAGTGTATACAGTTAGAACTAAGAATGGAGTGTACACAATTTAGAACTAAGAATGGAGTGTATACATTTAAAACTAAGAGTGGAGTGTATACAGTTAAAACTAAGAGTGGAGTGTATACAGTTATAACTAAGAATGGAATGTATACAGTTAGAACTAAGAATGTAGTGTATACAGTTACAACTAAGAATGGTGTATATTCAGTGAGAACTAAGAATGGATTGGATGGAATAAGAACTATGACCGTATTATGTAAGAATGGAACTATGTCGTCTACTCAATGAATACCCTGATATGACAAGGTTGCCAAATCTCAACTCTTCCTGTAATCTGTCTCTATCTATCCATGTACCCGGAGTATACCAGGAACCCACCATCAATTCTAATCTGAGAATTCATCAATACGTCTAATTTGTATCTTTCTATCTGTGTGTTATTGTTATCTATCTACCTACATGTATAATATATGCCTGGCTGGCTGTCAGTCAATTTCTCTAGATAATAACAAACAAGATTACAGTGTAGGAAAGATGTGTAATTAAGTATAAGGTTAGGTGAAGAAGAGGAGGTTACAGGTTCAAATATATTCAGAGTGTGATTCGTCAACCTCAAATTATCGTGTCAAGATAGATTTTGAGATTCTAGTACCCTGAATACTTAGACAGGTCTAGTATCCTAGTATCCTTAATACTTAGACAGGTCTATTGTCCTAGTATCCTGAATACTTAGACAGGTCTAGTATCCTATTATCCTGAATACTAGGACAGGTCTAGTGTCCTAGTATTATGAATACTAGAATACTGCCCTGTCTAAGTATCCTGAATACTAGGACTAGACCTGTTTAAGTATCCAGGATACTAGGATACTAGACCTGTCTAAGTATCCTGGATAATAGGATACTAGACCTGTCTAAGTGTCCTGGATACTAGGATACTAGACCTGTGTAAGTATCCAGGATACTAGACCTGTCTTAGTATCCTGAAAACTAGGATACTAGATCTGTCTAAGTATCCTGGATACTACAATACTAGGCCTGTTTACTTATCCAGGATACTAGGACACTAGACCTGTCCTAGATCCTGGATACTAGGATACTAGACCTACTTAAGTTTCCTTGATACTAGGATACTAGGCCTGTTTAAGTATCCAGGATACTGCAGACATAATTAGAAAAATCCGGAATTGATTTTTAATTAATCAGACGACTTTAAAATCTAATTTTACAAATATGATTTATGAAACGATTGTAAAGTCGTCTGATTAAGTGTCAATTAATTCCGGGTCTTATGACTGTAAGATACTAGACCTTTCTAAGTTTCTAGGATACTAGACCTGTCTAAGTATCCTGGATACTTAGACAGGTCTAGTGTCCTAGTATCCTAGAAACTTAGACAGGTCTAGTATCCTGGATACTTAGACAGGTCTAGTTTCCAGGATGCTTAGACAGGTCTAGTAACCTGGATACTCAGACAGGTCTAATATCCTGGATACTTAGACAGGTCTAGTAACCTGGATACTCAGACAGGTCTAGTATCCTGGATACTTAGACAGGTCTAGTATCCAGGATACTTAGACAGGTCTAGTAACCTGGATACTCAGACAGGTCTAGTATCCTGGATACTTATATGCTTTCCAGTTCGGTTTCCAGTCTGGGAAATCAACTATTCATCCTTTAATTCATATTGTTGATTATATTTCTAAAGCGTTCAATAATGATGAAATTGTTTTCGCAGTTTTTCTAGATTTACAGAAGGCTTTCGATCTTGTTGATCACGATATATTATTGATGAAACTGGAAAAAATTGGTGTTCGAGGATTAGCCCTTAAATGGTTTAAGAGTTACTTAAGTAACAGAAAACAGTTTGTTATGGTAAATGGTACTCTATCTGATTTTTTTTCCATGATTAATATTTCAGTATNTGAGCTATCTTGTAGCTCCCCGGCCACAAAATATATATATGTAATTGTATAGTCATTTTTATTAATATGAATATTGTTAACTTGTGGCCTAATAAATGATTTGATTTGATTTGATTTGATTTGAAACAGGTCTAGTGTCCTAGTATCCTAGAAACTTAGACAGGTCTAGTATCCTGGATACTTAGACAGGTCTAGTATCCTAGTATGCTGTAATCCTAGTATCCAGGATAACCGGATAGGATAAGACTAGGTTTCATGATAATTATGAGATGAAATGTTCTATATCCTTTTCATGCACTCTTATTAACACGCTGAAAAGTGGCAATTGCTCTGTCAGATGGGGTTTGATAGGATATGCATGGAATCCCTCCCATCTCCTACCTCTCCTACCCCCAACCCATCCTGATCTTCTCCTCCCCTTCCCCCTTCAATATATTTCCTAAAACCTCTTGTTTGTATTTACCTAGGAACACCACCGCTAGAGTTGTTGTTGATGAAACAGCTGTTGCTGTTGCCACCTCTCCTACAGAGAAACCACCAGGTTCAGTTCTAACTTCAGCACAGTCTCCAGGTGTATCCGGATACTGGTTTCCATATCTCAGGTCTTGGATACATACAGAGTATCCAACCCCGTGCTCCAGGTTCTCCTGGATACTGTACACAGATCTGTTCTCTCTAAGCTCTGGTTTAGGAACGGAGTAAACGGTTGAGTTTTGTGAACCAAACTCTCGAATAAGAATTCTAAACAAAGTTTTGGTTTATCTTTTACTAAATAGAATTTATAAATGATTAATGTTAAAAGGGGATGTAGGTGTAATTTCAAATGACCCTCCATGCAAATATAGCAATGCCCAATTCACAAAGGTACCAGTTGTTTATAATTTTGAAGACTGATTGTCTTCAATTGGGGTTCTCTACAAAAGTAAGTTGCGAATTTCTGTTGCAGGAAATTATATAGAAGTTATTTATGTCAAAACACTTTTGAACCTAGAAAAACGACAATATCTTTACATTAATATCGGATAAAGGTTTCAAGGGTACCGTTGTGAATCTGGTCTTGCCATATTTTCATGGAGTTCCACGGGAAATTACGCTTACAGTCCCTTTGTTGAACAGATTAATTGCATCATAATTAGATTATTCTTGTTCTCCACAAACCTGACAGCTTTCTCAGGTTCCCAGGAGATACTAAGAGAATTATCTCTAAACTCAGCAACAAGGTTGTGTTTAATACTGGAGCTGTATCCTGTATACACAACCCGGCACAAATCCTAAATATATTCAATTAGGATTAACTGGAAATATTTGTAGAAAAGATGTTATCCAGAAATTTTTGAGATTACGCTAATTTAGGATTTGATTTAGGATTTGAGTGAGTTATGGTTATAGTAATGAAAATAATGTTTTGATTAATGATTTCATAATTTTACTATAGTAATATCTAGTGCTTAGGATCCGGATCCGTTGGATCCGCAAGATTTTGTCTTCCTGGATCTGGATCCGGATCCGCAAAAATATGCGGGGTAACATATCAACCAAAAACTGCAAAAAAAACCTCTTAATCCAAAACTCAAGTCTGAACTTTTGAAAAAAGAGAGATTATAAAAATTTCCTCATTTCTGAATGGTTCATCAAGTTTAAGGATAAAAATAAGCGAAAAAAATAAAACAAATAATTTGAAAATTATTTTTTGTTAAAAAAATCAGCAAATCTTAAAGAAATGACATGGATCCGGATCCATTTTTTTCCAGTGCGGATCCATGATTCGGATCCGGATCCGCATCAAAATCAAATGGATCCTAAGCACTGGCTAATATCAATAATGATTTTATTATGGATCTTAAGAAGAATTATGGTAGTAAAATTTGATTTTAGAATTTTGGGAGTTTTGGTGGTAAGAAGAGCATATGAATTGATCCAGGATTTTAGAGAGTTATAGGAGTAATACGAGATAAGATTTGATAATGAAATTTAAGAGGGTTATGGTAGTATTCAAATTAATAATCTTTTAAGAAGAATGACAGGTCAGATTTGATAATGACGGTATTAATGGTTTGATGTGGGAATTATATAAAATAAGGATTTAATTATGGCTGATCTGGAAACTGTTAAACTTAAAGGGACTGTACGCGTAATTTTAATTGACCCTTCATGCAAAGATGACAATGCCCAATACCCTTAACAGCTTTTTCTGATTAGATATCAATGTTTATAATTTTGAAAACTGATTATTTTCAACTGTGGGCTCTTTACATACGATAGTGAAAACATTTAGGAATTTACAGAATGAAACAGTTTTAAACCTTCAGCTAGAATTAGGTTTCAAGGGTATGCAATCTTTGCATGAAAGTCACTTGAAATTACGCTCATGTTGAGTGATAGCAGGCTAGCCCAGGGTCCTTTTCTTATTTCGCATATGAGTGAAGTTCAGGGCTCAAATACAATTGTTGAGTTCCTATTGGTCCAGCCCAGTGTACGTCACCAAGTATACGAATCGCCGGGTCATACAGAATTTGCTTGTGTAAGGTGAAACATATGTCGAATAGATTTATTTATTTTTCAGATCAGCATGAGAAGCTTGGAAAGTCTACTATAGTTTGTTCATACGTATTTACCCCAATTTAAGTATGATTGATTGATATTTTTTGGATGGGTGTGAGTACAAAGACGAGGAATTTTGGGCATAAATGCTGCAAACTACTCAAATTGCGGACGGAGCACGGGGTTCAAAATGAGATTTGGTTTGATTTTAAACATTTATTATATATCGATTTTATAGTTTTTAATTGTAGAATATTGTTAAAACTATTAATGATTGGTGTATGTTTGACCCCCCGGAATTGTGAAATATTGCAGAGCAGATTATGCGAGTTTGATCCAAGGGTACAAGACACAGTGTATCTCCAGAATGACAAAGTAGATTTTTATTTGTTTGGGCTAGGTTTTATTTGGAATGAATTTATGATTGTTTAGTCCTCACGACTCAACTGCTCAAAGTCCCTTTGACCGTAAATTATTAAATGGCTTTGAAGGATTTGAATTATTTGATTGAAATACTTGAATTGAATAATTGAATAAAACCTGATGAAGATAGTATGCAGTATCCTGTTCAAGAACAGCTAAACAAACCTAGACCAGTTATCTTTCATTCACATCCAAATAACAAAAAAAAGGTTTAGGTCATCGTTCTATATATCAATACAATAAAGACGACTTTCTATTTAAATTTTGATTATTACAAAACCTGCAAACAGCAGGTACACTTACACATTTAAACAGTTGTCAATTAACAGCTTCTCTGTGTTTACTTGTAAACTTGTAATTTGAAAGTCTTATTAATGAATAGTCGTCTTCATTTTATTGATATAATCGCCGACCACTGTATTTAATATATTGTGCAGTTGGCCACATTATTTTCCTTCCTCATTCCGACTCAAATCTTTTTTATGTACAAACTTTTTTGTCCCGGTTGGGTTAAAATTTGGGGCAGTCTGTTCACTTTATTACCCCGGTTTATTACTTTTTGTCCTTGCTGGACTTTACGCATTGATTTTCACAAATAACTGATTGATCGTATATGAGAAGGGAAATTCGTTTCTTTTCGATATATTAAACATTTTGATGAGGCAAGAAAAAAAATGCCTATGTACTTAAGTCAATTATGTTCCTCGCTACGCTTGTAACTTCATTGATTTTAAAAATTTGACCACCGACCACTGACCACTAATCAGGTTGATGAATAGTTTTTTTATTAAAAAGTTATTTTTATGAAAAAGTTAGTTTTTTATATTTAAATGTCGGAAGTTTATTGGAAATCCACTAAACGTAATATAGTGCTAGCACAATAATAAGAAAAGGATAGAAAACTAGGCGTCCAGGGCGCTTTGTGCCGATCTTCATCTTTTAATTTGTATTGTTGCTCGATCTGTGGCATTTTCTCTTGTTAAAAATTAATTTTTTTTGCGCATTTCTCGAGTTCTAAAGGCATTTTTTTTAAATTCTGACCACCCATAAACCTTCACTGTGGTCATTTCCCACAAAATTTGGGCCGGATCGATTCATCCGCATTGAATTGGATTGTATAAAACAAACAACCAAACAATTACAATCAAAGTAAATATATAAATATTGCGATGAATATATTCCTCATGAACTGGTGAGTATTGAGTAGATATTGTAGCGTGAAGCATCTGATATCCTGGAACCCAGTCCTCATGTTTACTTGCATAATCTCGTAGATTGTATCCAGTCTATAGAACACAGAATAGTAGATTAGTCAGTGTATCCGGTCTACAGTACACAGCATAGATAATAGATTAGTCAGAGTGTACCCAGTTTAGTACACCGAATAGTAGATTAGTCAGTGAATCCGGTCTATAGTACACATAATAGTAGATAAGTCAGAGTGTACCCAGTCTATAGTACACAGAATAGTAAATTAGTCAGTGTATTCGGTCTATAGTACACAGAATAGTAGATTAGTCAGTGTATTCGGTCTATGGTACATAGAATAGTAGATTAGTCAGTGTATCCGGTCTATAGTACACAGAATAGTAGATTAGTCAGTGTGTCCGGTCTATAGTACACAGAATAGTAGATCAGTCAGTGTATCCGGTCTATAGTACACAGAATAGTAGATTAGTCAGTGTATCCGGTCTATAGTACACAGAATAGTAGTTTAGTCAGTGTATCCGGTCTATAGTGCACAGAATAGTAGATTAGTCAGAGTGTATCCGGTCTATAGTATACAGAATAGTAGATTAGTCAGAGTGTATCCGGTCTAGTACACAGAATAGTAGATTAGTTAGAGTGTATTCGGTCTATAGTACCAAGAATAGTAGTTTAGTCAGTGTATTCGGTCTATAGTACACATAATAGATAATAGATTAGTCAGAGTGTACCCAGTTCAGTACACCAAATAGTAGATTAGTCAGTGAATCCGGTCTATAGTACACAGAATATAGTAGTTTAGTCAGAGTGTATCCGGTCTAGTACACAGAATAGAAGTTTAGTCAGAGTGTATTCGGTCTATATTACACAGAATATAGTAGTTTAGTCAGAGTGTATCCGGTCTAGTACACAGAATAGAAGTTTAGTCAGAGTGTATTCGGTCTATAGTACATAGAATAGTAGATTAGTCAGAGTGTATCCGGTCTAGTACACAGAATAGAAGTTTAGTCAGAGTGTATTCGGTCTATAGTACATAGAATAGTAGATTAGTTAAAGTGTACCCAGTCTATAGTACACAGAGTAGTAGATTAGTCCCGTTCTAATCTTCCTTTTTTGTTTTTTTTTCGTCCTATTCTTTTTATTCTTCCTATTGATTGTATTCTTCCTATTCTTCTTACTCTTCCTATTGTTTTTATACTGTCTATTCTTTTTAAATGTCCCATGACCTCTATTCGTCCATTTCTTACTGTTCGTCCTCCTTGACCTATTCCTCCTGTTCGTCCTAGACCTAGTCTTACTATTCTTCCTTATCGTCCCATTATCCCTCAGTTTCCTATTCAAACTTTTCGTCCTATTCGTCCCATTTGTCCTAGTTGTCCTATTTTTCCTTTTCATTCTCTTTTAAGAAGAAAGATAATTATTATTATAAGTTTTAATGCTTGTTATATTTGATTCTAGCCAGCCTTTGATATTAATCCTGAAATATAAAAATTTATTCTTTTAATATTTCAAGAGAACCCCAATTTGCACTTCTGATAAAATCTTATTAGCTGAAAAGGAAAATTTAGATTTTTCAATAAATAAATAAAATTGTAATTTAAAATTATTACCTTTATAAACGAACTGGAATCAGACGTAGTTCCTCCATCTCCTAGTTTTCTAAAATATTATTATTCATTTAAAGGGTCTATATATATACGTAATTTAGAGGTGTTCTCCATTTATAGAGTGGCATAGTGGATTTTTATTTTCTATAAGAAAATTGATCATTATTTTGACTTGCAGATTTATGCAGAGATAGACAATGTAGGAAATTGTCAGAATTTAACTTTTTTATGAGATTGTACTCGGGTGTCGGTTTAAAGGGTACCGATGAAAATTGTGCATGCCAATCTTCCATAAAGGGTTGCTTAAAATTATGTCTAAAGTCCCTTTTTTCAAAATCAGAAAACTAAACTTTATTTTTACTTTATTCTTACCTGTAAACAATCCCCCAGTCGTATTCTTTATAATAGAACTCCAGATCTATACTGTACTGTACATCTAGTAGGTTAGGTTCACCATGTACTAAACATAATAGATATTTACTGTGCTGTACTGTACATCTAGTAGGTTAGGTTCACCATGTACTAAACATAATAGATCTTTACTGTGCTGTACTGTACATCTAGTAGGTTAGGTTCACCATGTACTGAACATAATAGATCTTTTCTGTGGCGTACTGTACATCTAGTAGGTTAGGTTCAGCATGTACTAAACATAAAAGAACTGTACATGTACTGTACATCTAGTAGGTTAGGTTCACCATTTACTAAGCATAATAGATCTTTACTGTGCTGTACTGTACATCTAGTAGGTTAGGTTCACCATGCACTAAACATAATAGATCTTTACTGTGCTGTACTGTACATCTAATAGGTTAGGTTCACCATGTACTAAACATAATAGATCTTTACTGTGCTGTACTGTACGTTTAATAATTACTTTCACCATGTACTAAGCATAAAAGAACTGTAATGCACATCCAGTAGGTTAGGTTCACCATGTACTAAACATAAAAGAACTGTAATGCACATCCAGTAGGTTAGGTTCACAATGTACTAAACACAATAGAATTGTACTGTACTGTACATCCAGTAGGTTAGGTTCAGCATGTATTAAACATAACAGATCTTTACTGTGCTGTACTGTACGTCTAATAATTAGGTTCACCATGTACTAATCATAAAAGAACTGTAATGCACATCCAGTAGGTTAGGTTCACCATGTATTAAACATAAAAGAACTGTAATGCAAATCTAGTAGGTTAGGTTCAGCATGTACTAAACATAATAGAACTGTATTGTATTGTATCGAGGATTACTATTTAAACATGCGTACATTTTATTCATCCAGACTTAAACTCATACATTCATTTATTCAACAAACAAACATTGCATCCATTAAAAACTACCTGAGTATTCCTGAATGTATCCTAAGTATACCTGAATGAACCATCAGTGTACTGAATGTATCCTAGGTATACCTGAATGTATCCTGAGTGTACTGAATGTATCCTAAATATACATGAATGTATCCTGAGTGTACTGAATGTATCCTAAATATACCTGAATGTATCCTGAGTGTACTGAATGTATCCTAAATATACCTGAATGTATTCTGAGTGTACTGAATGTATCCCTAGGAAAGTAAATTGCATCCATGTTGTTAACTCTGAAGAACTCTAAAGTCTTATTATTCTCCAGATTACACAAACCCTTCCCTGAACAGAGACATACATTAATACCGAGTCCGAGATTTAAATGGTTCAGCTCGAGTCGTAATTCCTTAAACCCAGGGTTAAGGCTCAATCTTAGACCCACCACACCTAAATAGAATCCCCTGATCCTGTGCTGAAGCTTCTTAGTCTAACCTGAATAGGTTTGAAGAGCTGTATCTTTTCTTCTGAAGGGGGTTGAGCAGGACGGAGCTAGTATCCGGGTCCTACTGGAGACTAGAGCATCTAGTAACCAGACAGCCTACACAAATACAGTAGATTTACTAGATTATTGAACTTAGTTTAAAACATCACTCCTGGCCCTTGCACACCAATCTATTCATTTACTAAAAAAAATATTCCCAGAGTTTATAACTCTTGTATTGTGGATATTGAGATCAATGATTGATCTCAATCTTTTGTTAATCTGCAGATTAATTTAATCTTTATTTGATTTCCTGCATGGTAATCGTACACATTAGGGGTTGACGGCAGTTTCTATCGGGAGAAATAACAAAAATGAAGATATAGAAAGGTATAGTTTTTATAGATCCTCAGAAGAAGAGCCCACAGTGAATATAGAGATCAAGCAATCGGGATTATAAAGATTTAATACAAAAGTTCTTAGCGGAGTTCATTTTTAGCTATGATTAAACCACTGATGCCTCAATTTAATGAGAAATAATAAGAATTCTAATAAAAAACATCGATAACGTCTTTTTCTAATTCATAATTGTTAACTAATGATTTAACTTTATATAAGTGGTAATCTTTGAATAAAAGTTATAAAATCCGCCAAAACAAGTAAATCCTCAAATTGAGATGTTAACCTTGCAATCACAGTGGAGAGGGTTTCCTAGGAGAGATAGATAAAGAAGTCCCTTTTCTTCATCCTAGATTAGAAAATCCAAATTATCTAGATATTCTGCATAAAGACAATTTACAAAATACAAAAGTATTTTTCAATTTATTTTTATTTCCATTTCAACATTTTTATTTTATTCAAAATTTTTGTTTACTCATTAATTTTTCATACCGTGATTTTAAATTTTCAAACTTCTATTTTGCTTTTACTTTTTTTCGTGTACTTTTCCTGGATCATATATTAATATACTTTCCATTTATCCTTTTAAATTCTTTTAAGTTCTTTTTAAAAGGTCTACTGGCTTAATTTCATGGGACCCTCCATTATACATGTTGCATGCCCGATACAGTATATAGTCTCTACCCCCTTTGTCTGAGGAAAAATGTTTTCTGCTTAATTTTTGTAATCTTTTCCTATAATCTAATCAAATACTTCGGATTATTTAAGATTATTTAAGATTATTGAAGGGAGTGACCGGCAATGGCTGGTAGTTGAACTGAAAATGTAGAATTGGAGAGAATTTTTAGGATTCATTTGAGACCTTTGAGACGTTTTTACTGTGAATACTGTATATTTGTTCAGCAAGGGCGCTTATTCAATCTTTAAAATCCTCATTTTGGAGGAATGATTAAACATACAGTAAACTAATTAGTTGTTAAGGAACAGGTTGAGAAAAAAAATGTCTAATACTCGAAAAAAAGTAAACTTATTCAGTTATTGGTTTCTGTAATGTCTCATTCTTCACAAACTTTTTCCGTAGATTTCCAGGAATTTCTATTGAAAAGACGACATTTTAAGAATTTGCAGAAATCTGCTAACAAATTCATGAAGATTAAGAAATTCAATGAAATGATGAAAAAGAAATAATTGATTCTGACATTGATGTTTTAACAAATTTCTATTGAGAAATATTTTCCTAAAAACTTAATTCTCAAAATCATCCCTTCAAAATGAGAATTTTAAAGATTGAATTTGCGCCCTTGCAAAACAAATATACACCATAAAAACGTCTTATAGGTCCCAAAAGAATCCTAAAATATTTCAATCTCAGTTCAACTACCATACATTGCCGGTCACTCCCTTTAAAAGTCAAAGATTAAAACCAGAGAGAACTCTTAGCTTTGAATAAGAATATAATTATTTAGTGCGCATATGGATACTGAAATACTTAACTATCTATATATAATACTATACTATCTACTATTTATGGTTTCAAGATTCTCAAAGTTCTTAAGATTGTGCAATATATTTTCGCACATGTATTGTTATTTTTTAGCAATTTCGTGTGAATTTTCATTTAAACGTGCACGATTCACAAGGATACCATTTAAACTTTTGTTTTTCTTGGTCAATTTTTTCAAATTGCGGTTTTTGTATAAAAAAGTGACTTGTGATCTTTTGCAACAGAAACAAGGAAGTCAATTTACAGAATATATCATGTTTATTTATATGTAAACATTTATGAAACCTATTATTTTTCCTGTTTTAATTTTTTTAATTCATAAAATCATAATCTTTTAAATTTTACTTCTAGGGATTGTAAGTATGATTAATGTATCTGGTCAATAATGATTCTTATATGTTTTCCTAGAGCAGAAATGCGCAAGTCTCTTTTTAAAAAATTATAAACATTGATATCCAATTGATATTTGATCATACAAAGCTTTAAAGGTGCCGCTGTGGTTTAGGCATTACCATCTTTTCAAATAGAGTCACTTGAAACCACGCTTTAAGACCCTTTAATTTAGAAATTAAAGGGAGTGTTCACGAAAAATGAAAGGGGGTATAGGCTTGCGGCGAAAAATAAGCGCTTTTGATCGCTACTAATCTAATATGAAATATTTACGAATGCGTCGAAAAATAATCGATGACTACTGTTTGTAATATCTGAATGATTTGTTTAAAATTAAATTGATTTGTTTACGATCCGAGTTGAATGTTGCATCTTTAGAATTTTTATGGACGCTACGTTCCTAGGTATTAGTCGTTTTTAACAATTTTCTCCTTATAGACGCAACAGATAGAAGTAATATTAGTAGCGATCAAAAGCGCTTATTTTTCGCCGCAGCCCTATGCCCCTTTTAACTTTTTCTTAACACTCCCTTTAATGGATAATTCTTTACCTCTAAAAAGATGTTTTGTAGTTTATTCTCCTCAATTATCAAGCTCTGAAGAGCAGGAAGTGTTTTCAGCATAGATCTAAATAAATAAATAAAAAAAACTTTAATATTCTTTCAATTATTGGATTTCTCTGTTCTGAGTAAGTATGGTAACTTAATACTTATACTAAACTCCTCGCCCCTTTCTCTGAGCCATAGCAGAAAAGATTCCAGAGATTGAGCAGCATGCATCCCGAGCCTTTGAACCGTATAGACATAGAATTTACTCCATTTGTACAATAAAGGCACTTTTATACCGCTATCTGATAGATGGATCTTCAAGATGCCTGCCAGAGAACAAAGGAGGCCACCAGCCTACTCCCCCATCATAATACCTGAATATGCATCCTCGGAATCCTCAGCATCACCGAGGGATTTGTCTCCGTTGGTTTCCGGAGCTAGTCCAGTAGTAACCGTACCGGCCAGTCCAACTACAGACCAAAGCATATCAGATGCTACTCTATCTCCTCCAAATTACTCTATGCAAGGATCCGATCTTGCTGGTGATCCGGAGCAGCAAGACTATCCAGTCAGACCTATGACTCCAAGAGCAGAACATGATCCTGATGCAGGACATGCTGCTCTTTATGACAGCTCTTCGCAGACCTATTGTAGAGTCAGCATAAGAACGAGATGATCTTGATGCAGGAGACGCTGCTCTTCAAAGACAACTCTTCATAGACCTGTTGTAGAGTCTGCAGGAGAACAAGAAAATCCTGATGCAGAAGATGCTGCTCTTTGTCAAGCAGCTCTTCATAGACCTGTTGTCAGTCTGCAGAAGAACAAGATAATCCTGGTGCAGGAGACGCTGCTCTTTGTCGAGAAGCTCTTCACAGACCCGTTGTAAGTCCAGCAAAGGAAGCAGCTGAGAATGCAGTAGAATCACCTCAGATTGCCGGAGCACCAGAAGCAGCTAGGATTACAGTAGAAGCAGCAAATGAACCAGCAGTAAATGTGGAAGCTGTTGTTGAGAGATTGCTACGAGAGATATTTGAGTTTGAGGCAGCTTCTCAGATAAATCCTGAACCGAAGCAGCTGAACGAAATATTGACATCTATATATAAATTTGGCTTGTCTGTCTGTTTGTTTGTCTGTTTGTTTGTTTGTTTGTATCCAATAAACGTCAAAACGGCTGAACCGATCGGGCCCAAATTTTTTGTGGGACATCTAGGGACCCCAGGGAAGGTTTATGAATGATCAAAATTTCAAATATTTGTCTCCATCAAAATTCGATCTTCATTAAATTTTTGAAAATTTTGAAAATCCACGAAATTTTTTGTGAAAATCCGCGAATTATTTTTGTTTTGTTTTACGATGTACACAAAGAGAACATGTTCACAATTAATTTAGAAGATGGGCGCGAAGCGCCCTCTAAGGCTAGTTATAGCAATACTTTCGTGCATTTAATGTTGTTACAACGCAAATATTTTTACCAGAGTAACTTATGAATCACTTAGTAAGATTATGGGGTCTGTTCACACTACACAATTAATATGTTCATTAGTCTATTTAATGTCATAGTACACGTCTAAAAGTTTTCTTTTTACCCTAGACTTTTCTGATTCTCTCTGTAGACGATTATAATTATCTAAAATCAGTTTTCTTTTCATTAAAGTCTATAAATAAGTGAAAAATTGTTTTTGTGTTTTTGTTTTTTTAGACTCAGCTAAATAAAGCATCATTTAATCTAATAATTTAGCTAAGTGTGCACCGAGGCATCAACAATTATATCAAAGATTTTAATTATATTTTTTTTTCTTTCGATTTTTCAAATTAAGGCCTTTACGCACATTAGAAAAGACCGAAAACTATGATGCAACCATGGAATAATCAATATTGTTTGAAATTCTTATTAATCTTAAGAAATTTTCAATGATTCTAATATTTTCTGAGAGTTAATGACATTCTGTGAAAAATACTGAGTTTTTCTAAGTGGGCCTTTAAAACAAAAACATTGAAACCAAGCGGAATTTTTCGTTCAAAATCTACGAAAGAAAAGAGAAAAATGTGCTATTTTTTTTAACATTAAAAACCTTACTGGAAATTGTGCCTTTGTCACAAAGTTTGACTAAGCAACTATATCTTTGCAATTCAATGTCATAGACCTTAGTTTTTTCAAACATAAGTTCTATACTAGATCAAGTAATTGCAGCTAAAAATATCTTTACTTCATCAGGTTGCAAAGAAATAGGGATTAGAAAATTAGTGTTTGAGGCAAAGACTCATTTTCTTTCTTTCAAACCCATTTTTATTTATAAATGATTATTAATGATTAATGATTATTAATGATTAATGATTATTAACTATTAATGATTATTAATGATTAATGATTATTAATGATTATTAATGATTATTAATGATTAATGATTATTAATGACTAATAATTATTATTGATTATTAATGATTAATGATTATTAATGATTAATGATTATCAATGATTAATGATTTATTTATAATGATTAATGATTATTAATGATTAATGATTATTAATGATTATTAATGATTAATGATTAATGATTATTAATGATTAATGATTATTAATGATTAATGATTATTAATGATTAATAATTATTATTGATCAATGATTATTAATGATTAATGATTATTAATGATTAACGATTATTAATGATTAATAATTATTAATGATTAATGATTATTAATGATTAATGATTATTAATGATTATTAATGATTAATGATTATTGATTATTAATGCTTAATGATTATTAATGATTAATGATTATTAATTATTAATGATTATTAATTATTAATGATTATTAATGATTAATAATTATTAATGATTAATGATTATTAATGATAAATGATTATTAATGATTAATGATTATTGATGATTAATGATTATTAATGATTAATGATTATTGATTATTAATGATAAATGATGATTAATGATTAATATTAAAGATAAGATGTGTTGTAAACAGTCATAATACTGATAATTAGTGTTTTACGGCGGAAAGTACACTCTTGTTTTTACTCTCACATATTTCCCGCATTTTATTTGTATTCTAAAAAGTGTGAGAAGGGTGTCACTAGGTTAACATGCAAAAGTTGATGTTGACAAGATGGTAGTTTCAAGGTTTAAACAAAATACTGGGTTTCCTGTCAAAATATTTGTTACCTACATCCTGCACACTTCAAACTATTATCTCGGGATTGAAATGATATACATACTCAGACGAAACTAGGGGGGG